AAAGTGCGGGAGATGGATCAGACCTGGTTGAGGGCCCTCTGGGGGATCATCGGTTGAGGAAGAAGGTGGACATTTCGGAGGCTCCCTTGTCGAAGTTGGCATATGAACTGATATTTTCCCAGCCACCATCAGTTCTGAGGAAAGGTCACTGGACCCGAATCGTTAATCTGATCTTTTCTTCACAGATGCTGCCTGACCTGCTGAACTTTTCCAGCAACTTTGTTCCTGATTTACAGCATCTGCAGTTCTTTCTGTTTTTATTTTGATGAGAGTCCTTATGCCAAATTTCCTGAGCCAACTGAGGAAGAAGAGGTGGTGTTGTGCCTCTTGACCATCGCATCTACATGTGAGGTCCAAGACAAGTTGTCGGTTATTGTCACTCCAAGGAACTTGACGGTCTCCACCCCCTTAACCACAGTTCAATTGATGTGAATGGGGACGTGTTCTGCTCCTATCTTTCTGAAGTCAATGATCAGTTCTTTAGGTTTGCCGACGTTGAGAGAGAGGTTGCACTCATTGCACCATGTCATCAAGTCTCTATCTCGCTTATCTATTTTGACTCGTCGTTGTTAGATATCCATCCCATCTTCAAAATCTCCTGCTTAATACAATCAGGGCAGCACAGTAGCCCAGTGGTTAGCACTGCTGCCTTAGAGCACCAGGCACCCAGGTTCGATTTCAGCCTCAGGTGACTGTCTGTGTGGAGTTTACACATTCTCCCCATGTCTGTGTGGGTTTTCTCCAGGTGCTCTGGTTTCTTCCCATAATCCGGCTCAGTGGTTAGCACTGCTGCCTCACAGCGCTAGGAACCTGAGTTCAATTCCACCCTCGGGTGACTGTCTGTGTGGAGTTTGCATGTTCTCCCCATGTCTGCATGGGTTTCCTCCAGGTGCTCCGGCTTCCTCCCACAGGCCAAAGATGTGCAAGCTAGGTGGATTGGCCGTGCTAAACTGCCCATAGAGTTCAGGGATGTGTAGATTAGGTGGGTTATAGGGGGATGGGTCTGGGTGAGATGTTCTGAGGGTTGGTGTGGACATGTTGGGCCAAAGGGCCTGTTTCCACACTGTAGGGATTCTATGATGTACAGTTTAGGTGGATTGGCCAGGCTAAATTGCCCATAGTGTCCAGGGATGTGTGGGTTAGCCATGGGAAACTCAGGGTTACAGGGCTCGTGTGGGGTAGGGGTATGGGTATTGGAGTGATGCTCTTCAGAGGGTTGGTATGGATTTGATGGGCCAAATGGCCTGCTTCCACACTATAGGGATTCTAGGATTCTGGATTAACATAACTCCTGCAGTTTTAATGGAAATATCATTTGTGTACTAATAGTAAATTATATAAAAGAAAACAAAAATCGATAATTATAGTTGAATCCTTTTTGTGGTATATTATCTTTCTTAAGCACATAAGGGTTAAAATGGATCTGTGGATGAATAGTCTTTCTGACCATTAAATAGCAAAATATTTGGCATTAATCTAAAATAAGCTATGCACAGGAAGGCTCATCAGGATTCCAACACTATTAATCAGCCTGAAATCAGGAAAATGCTATTTGTCTGTATTTTCTGTGATCCCAGTTTTGAATGCACAGGACACAATCTTTGCTCTTGCAGAGTTCCCCTGAGAGCACAACCTCAATTCCAATTGGCTGGTATGCTGCATGGGCAAAGCTTCACTGAAGATTGGTGAACATCAGAAGTTGGACGGATGACACCAGTAGCTCGGGACGAGGGGTAGCAGCGGCATCAGCCGCCAATGCTCTTTTCAGATGGGATCAGTCAGATTAATCCTGCTCCTTTTATCTCTACATTCAGGTGGATACTTGATCTACCTGCCCACAGGGTCCTATTGTGTGAGGGAGCTCAGTGAGTGAAATGCAGAATTTTTAAATATTGGTAATTTAGTTAAATTGTGCTTATAATGTTAGATTGTGTATATGATATAATGTACTTATAATGTTCCAGATGTGCACTCCTGCCACAACCATATTTACCTTTTCAAGCATGATATTCCCTGGTAAACTGTAACAGGCAATGAATAGTTGGAGAGAGAACAAAGTGTTCACAGAGGAGAATGCTGGAGAGAAGGCAATTAAAAGAGAACAAAAAAGAAACTGAGGAAGAGCAACTAGAAAATAAGTCATATTTAGTGTACTTAACTATATTTAATCATAGCTGTGAACAATCTTACATATTTTTAGGGCCTGCATCCACAGAATAGGAACACAGAGAGAATGAATGAAATCATGCATTGATTCCACACAGAGGAAATGTGATCTGTAAAATCTAGTGATAAGGTACCAGTCTGAATACAAAGACGGAGTATAGATTGGCTTTGTTTTATTTCATTCATTTGAACTTCACAGAATCACAGAAGTGTAATGGCTCAGAAGGAGGCCATCAGCCTATTGTACCTGCACCGGAGGCCTCTCCTAGTCCACTACTCACTGACTAGCTTACTGAGGTCCCTTAGAAAGTGTGTCACAGCCAGATGTACAAACTCCAGCAATGTGAATTGTTCTGCTTTACTCCTTGCCAAAACAATTTCCCACTAATAATATGAGCGTGTTTATTCAATCTCCCAATTAAATATAAAAGATTTTGTACAGCTGCAGTCTAATTTCCTCTTCATTTAGATCTTTAAAAGAAGTAGTAAATTTGGGAATCACTGAAGGATAACAACTACTACATTATATTGATGTTATTTCTGGTAATTACATTACTAAGAGGAGAAAGTAGTGACATGGAAGTGTTACTGGACTAATAGCCCAGCAGTCTAAATTAATACTCTGGTGATGTGGGTTTAAATTCCACATGGCAGCTTGTGGAACTTGAGGGCAATGATTTTTTTTAAAAAGTGGAATGAACATAAAGCTGATCTTAGTAATGATGACCTCGAATTCATCACTGATTGACTAGTGCACTACATAGTATGAAACCTATAATCCTTACCTGGTCTGACCTGTATATGACTCCAGATCCACACCAATGTCATTGACTGTGAAATGGCCTGGCAAGACATTCAGTGCAGGAGAAATTAGGCCTTACCAGCTATGTCTACATCTCATGAAATAATGAAGAGTTACTGTTATTGAGACTTTACAGTGTGCACATTGGCTTCTGCATTTTCTACATTATAACAGTGATTGCACATCAAAAGTAATTTGGTGGCTCTAAGTTGCTTTGAGACATCCTGAAGCTATGAAAGGCACTATATAAATGCCACTTGTTCTTAATCTTTGTTTTGGTAGGCGGAGTAGGTAGATGATAGTAAATGAAAATAGTGAATGACTGTGAACAGGAGAAATGACTTACTGTACAGTTAAGAACATACAAATTTAAATCAAAAAATTGTCTGGCAAGGTAAACTGGACCTGACATAAGAGGGAGATTTTTACGTTGAACAACTGTGGCCATGAGGCAGAGTGAATCTGGAATTCCGCAGGGAATATGTGATGGGAGAATATCTCACATTTATAAGAACACCATTCAGATCTTCCTTTTATTGACATGAATAGGAGACAATCCAGCAGTTTCTGGCCTTGAATATTTTCCATTATGCACTTCCCCGAGGTGCTACTTTAAAAAAAGACCAACATCCAAATTTCAGCACAAAGTTTGCTATATTCTATCCTCATCAGTGGAGTTAATCTGGGGTTGCAAATCTCTTTTTGAGATATCCTGAAGACTTAAAAGGAGCCAGCCTGCCTTTTTCTCTCTCTTTTTTCCCCTCTCTTTCATCCCTCCTACAGTTCTCATTCTCTCACCGATTAATGTTCTGTTCAGTTCCTGACTCCTAGATAATTTTGGCTGCATCTTTACAAATGAGAACTGCATCCTCATTGCAATGGCATAGTTTTCAGTGTCTCAGCTCACACTGGATAATAGTCATTTGATTGAGATGGCCTGAACCTGTGGATGTTACCGAAACATGGCTCAGGGCTTTTGGGAAATGAAGAGAGAAACGTGGAGAAAAACAGAAATGATAACTTGTCAGTGTGCATAATGCTTTCTCTAACAATATCTAAGGTTTGCTTGGAATCGACCCAATAATTAATTGACCTCTTGCTTGGTTTTTCAAATCTCTAGGAATTAATTAAAGCCGGTACTGATCAGTAATGGAATTCTGAGCAGTGTCTACTTACCCCTCTGGGAATTGGACTTCATGATCCCTTTCCACTTATAGCCTTTAGCAACCAGGGAAAAGGGGATCCTGATACCATCTGGCTGGTCTGAATTTGAACCTTGGTCTCAAAAGGTGAAAGGCCATTGTTGTAACATAATGCAGTACTCATTTTCCTTTTAAACTAAAAAATGAATGCTGGCCTTTCACCTCTGAGGCCCAAATTAGGATTTAGTCAAGACAGATGGAATGATATGGTCTCCTGACACCAGTAATTGTCTCAAGTGAAGTAGATTTTTTTAAGACTGTCAATCTAGTATTGGGATAATTAGCACAATATGTCTGCTCAAATTTGTAGCATTTGCCACTTGTTGGGGCACTGCCACTTGGGAAGAAGAACAGAAATGTTTAATTGGTGCAGTGGGCTTGTTAAAGCCAGTTTGGGTTTTAGAGCCATTATCAAGTGAGTTTATGATGCAGGCCCACTGTATGTTGCTTTCTCCTATTTACCTGACTTCCTGTCAACACTTCAAATAAAGGCCAAAGTTCCATGATTCCCATTGGAAGGAAATTGACTTTGTGCATTTAGTTTTACCTGGAGACATCAAAGTGTTAACGTTGGGCAGGTGGGCCTCTGATGGTACTACTTTCCCAGATTGGAGTGTTTATATAGACTACTATTGATAATTGAGCCTGTGAATCTGGCACTGTGAGTAATAACATCCATATCACAGTGGCATACAAAGCAGGAAGGTGTCAGGCTCAGTCACATTTATTGAATGAAGTAATATCAGTCAAGGCAACACAAAGGCGCTACAATTAAGTTAAGCTCCCTCAGCATAAGGAAATTAAAAAAACTGTGATGTTTCCTGCTCCAGACTACTGTCCAGTGGATATAGAGGGAAGTACATGTGTGGATTTTGGATCGTGACAGTATTGGACTTGAATGCAGGACTCTCTGCAATTAAATACACCAGTGAAGACAGTGAGAAGTGCAACTGAGAGGCAATTGGAGAACAGCTGCTGTATATGACACCAATTTCAGGTAACGTTATCGGGCTCAAACTTGGTTATAACCATCTTCAGAGATAGTAGACACAGTTCACGTGTATTGGTATTGAGGGAAGCAGCACACATAATTGTTCCTCCTACAATACCTAATTATAATATTGACCAAAGGGAGGGGCCACATTAATGCAGCTTAAGTGGACGGTTGAGTAGCATGGAATCCCATTCCTCTTGAGTAGCATCAGAAATGGTACAGCAAGTTGGAATTTTATTGTAGAGAGCGTGAGAGACATTTTGGACATTTGCTGTTTACATCAATATGACTGCACCATAATGGTAACAGTGAACTCCTGCTAAAATAAGTACTGCAGGGGTGTGGATTAGAAAGAAAGGAACAAAAGTGATGTTTAGCCTTGGTTAATTTGTCTGCCTTTAATCAAAAGAGAACAACACTTTTTTAGGGCTGTGTTCTGGTTCATTGCACCCTGCCACTTGAGGTGGCAGCTTTACTATTAACATTCAACAGTAGAACTAAAGAGCAGTGATTGACTCCTGATACAAGAGACAGAATTACACATTGCCAGCACAGCTGACCGCCTCCATTTAGCCATTCCAGTTTGATGAAGACAATTTGCATAAATATCACCCTGCAAAACTCCCTGTGGGCACTGAATGAATCTGTTTTCTATGAAGCAAACCTTTCTTTTCTTTTCTAATCTTTTAAACCATTTCTGTCTCTGCTGTTTTACCTCCTTTCTCATCTCATAAAAAAAGCTAAATGCTCTGGCTTCTTTTTAAAAGAAGCTGAATTACTAGACAAATTACATCTGCATAGAACTTGCCTTTTTTAATTACAATGTTACTTGGCTATGATTTCCTTGTCCTTCCTTCTAATATATAGGTAAAAACAGCTCTTTGGAGAATCAGAAGGGACTTCGGCAAAATGGATATATGTTTAGTTTTTCATCCATTATTAATGTTATTGTGGTTATTTGCAAACATTCTGTAGACTTAGCATGGTTAAAAGAGAATCGCAACTTTAAGTAGGGCATTCTAATTGTCTGGAACCAAAGCAGAAGTTGCTGGAAAAGCTCAGGAGGTCTAGCAGCATCTGTGAAGAAAAATCAGAGTTAATGTTTCAGGTCTGGTGACCCTTCCTCAGGGTGGTTCTGAGGAACAATCACAAGACCCGAAACATTAACTCTGATTTTTCTTCACAGATGCTGCCAGACCTGCTGAGCTTTTCCAGCAACTTGTTTTTGATCCTGATTTCAGTTTTTATTCTAATTGTCATCGTTGCATTTAAAGAAACATTCACACTGTCAGGACTCTTGTTGAAGAGAGACTTTTGCAATTACAACTGAAAACAAAAAATGCTGGAAATCACAGGCTACAACTCTCTTTCATTCAGACCCATGTAACTGATGATTGAAAAAATACAAACTGGCAAAGATACCTTCACTAGATAACTGTAGATCTAAAGGCAAGGATATGTAGCAAAAGGAAAGACTGTTCAACCCAGTTAGGCAAATTGTTTGTTACACGTCAGTTCTAAGGATGTACAACACATCTAATAACTTGCTGAAGTAGATATTCTGTAATCAGTAACATGTTTTCAAACGCTGGGAAAAAATTTAGCTTAGCCTGGTCCTGACAACCCTAAAACCTATTTATTCCAGCAGGAATTATTTGATAGTGATGAGAAATGGAAGCTGTGGATTATTTCCTAATCCCCATCTACAAACACTTGCTTCTGCCCTGACTGAAAGAGATTAATTCAGAACAATTCCTGGACCTTACTAGGAGTATGACACCATACATTCATTACGTAACAGTTTGTTTCCTGAAAGATGGTTTCCTTTAGTTTTGATTTTACTTTTGATCTTTAACATGACTCCATTGAGATTAAGTTTAGATGGTCTTGAAACGAATTCTCAAGATGGAGCATATTACAATAATCATATCTGACAAAATATAACATGTTAATGAATCTAGAATAGAACAAGCAGGAGCAGTGATGCCTAGTAGCATGTTATAGAACAAATCACTTTCTTGGAAAAAGACTCCTGTTGTGCAATGAAAACCAACACATCAACCTGACCAACATAGGATTAAATGAGAGCTTTCTGGGTATAATTCAGTTAATTCAATGTGAGAGAATGTTCTTGAATTCTTTTTACATTTCATGTAGATCAGCAATTCACTGTATGTTATTTCTGACCTTCACTAAAATATCCTAATGTTTGCAGGATGATGGTTTGATGTTATTTGTGTGTGCTGTGCCTGCTGACTGATCACATCACTGAGGAGCTGCTTTGTTTCTGATATTGCCCACACTGGTTCATTAGAACTGTCAATAATGGATGCTGACACAGATGCTGTTGTCATCTCGGTATTTGCTGCACTATGAACAGCTACTGAAATTGATGAGGAATACAAACGTCTGGAAGCTCAGGACCAGCAGCAACCACCTTTGGATATGGAGCAACCTTATAATGCAAAGTTTCCAGAAAAAGAGACCCACAGTGGTTCGCCTTAAGGGAGGTGATGGCCTAGTGTTATTATCGCTGCACTGTTAATGTTCTGGGCACCTGGGTTCGAATCCCACATGGCAGATGATGGAATTTGAATTCAATAAAATATCTGGAATTAAGAATCTAATGATGACCATGAATCCATTGTTGATTGTTGGAAAAACCCATCTGGTTCACTAATGTCCTTCAGGGAATAAAATCTGCCATCCTTACCTGGTCTGGCCTACATGTAACTCCAGACCTACAGCAATGTGGTTGACTCTTAACTGCCCTCTGGGCAATTAGGGATGGGCAATAAATGCTGCCTAGCAGTGATGCCCTCATCCCATGAATGAATAAAAGAATAAAGGAATGTCTTCCAGATGAGAAGGGGGCAGTAGCACCGCTGAATGAGGATGGCCCAGGACACTGTTCCAAAACTGTGTTATCTGCTGTAGCTTACAAATCTAGCACACAAGTGCAGCAGGTAATCAGGAAGGCTAATGGAATGTTGGCCCTTATTTCAAGGGAGTTGGAGAATAATAGTAGGGAAGTCTTACTGTAGCTGTGCAAGGTTGTACTGAGCCCACATCTGGAAGACTGTGAGTAGTTTTGAATCTAGAAGTAGTGGCATTGAAGCCGAGGATTAACCACGATCATATCAAATGGCAGAGGAGACTAGACAGCCGTTATAGTCTTCTCTTCCCCCTACTTCTTATGTTCCTAACAACTGGAGAAATAAACTGGCTTCAGTAATCTGGGGGTGAAGGAAGAACAAATGGGAACCAGATTCCCAGAAGAGAGTGTTAGAGAAACTCAGCACGTCTGGTAGCATCTGACAATAGAGAAACAGAATCAATATTTTGAGTCCAGGATGACTCTTCTTCAGCACTTCAGTTCTGTCATTCTGGTGTTGAAACATTAACTCAGTTTCTCTCTGCACAGATGCTGCCAGAACTGTTGAGTTTCTCCAATATTTTATGTTTTTATTTCAAATTTCCAGATAACTTCATTATCTGCATATATTTTCTAACAGGCGTTAATAAATAGAAGTCAAGATTGGAAATCTTGTAAATGCGAAATATGTGGCTGTATTTATTTCAGATTTCTAGCAGCCATATATTTTGCATTTACAAGATTTCCAATCTTGACTTCTATTTATCAACTCCTGTTAGAAAATATATGCAAATAATGAAGCTATTGACAGGCCTATTATGTTAATCTCTAAAGTGAAATGGTCTGTCAATAATTACTATCTGGAGCTATTCACAATGAAAGAAAACTTGGACCCAGCAGCATGGGCTGTTTGTGCTATACTTAATCAGTAGTCACTAGGTTCAGGTAACATTTTCAAAATTTGAACAGGTCACTTCTGGCCCAACACCAACATAAAGTGTGGCAGCTACAAATTGCTTATCCCAACTGCTCCTCACTGATATCTCCCAAACTCCTCCTCAAGCAATACTTTGTCCATTCAACCACAATTGCATCCATTTCCATGGATACAACAGAAACATTAGATTCACTTTCAATTCTATTACTGTCTGTGATTCTAGATAGGCACCAAGGCTGAAGAGATGTTAGACTTGTCAAGCGCTGTGCCTTTTCTTTTCTCCTAGAGGCTGATTTGCCTCCATTTATTTTGACACTTCAACAAGGTGTGCAGATTAAGCCTTATTTTCTTCCCTGTGACTGAAGCCAATTTTTTTGGAAAAACATCTGTCAGGTCATAGACTTTTACTTTTATTGAAAGATCAAGAGTGAGACTCAATTTCTGAGTGCACCATTCTGTGCTCGTTAACACACAGACCCCATTACCCCATTCACCTATCACCACCCAAATCTTACTAAGAAGCTCCCCTTTTACACCAAGCAGAACTTTTTTTTCACTTCTAGTATCCCACTTCTGCTTAAGGGACTGGGGTGGATCTTCACTTTGAAGAACAGAGGAAAATGGATGAAAATGCATCAGCTGTCTTTTGAAGTAAATAATAAGATGTGCAGCCTATAATCCCCCACATCTTCCCTTCAATTATCCCATATTTTCCCCTTTGTCTCTGTCGTATTTCCCTAAACATCTTCCTATTCTCTACTTATCTTCCCCATAGTTCCCATCACCATCCTGCCCCAACCACCCCGCAATACTTTCCCCACAGTTTGCCCCACATTACGTTTTACATAACAAAAACAGAAATTGCTGGGGAAACTCAGCCGGTCTGGCGGCATCTGTGAAAAAGAGAAACGGAGTTAATGTTTCATGTCCAGTGACCCTTTTTTCTCTTCACAGATGCTGTCAGACCTGCTGAGTTTCTCCACCAATTTGTTTTTGTTTCAGATTTCCAGCGTCCACAGTTCTTTGCTTTATTGCCACATTGTGTTTTGTTGGGTGTTGAATGTATAACACTGTCTAATCTCCCAAAGTAATGCTGCTCATGTCCATAGAACCTTCTGCAAGAACTCTTAATTTTGCAACTTGATCTATACAGACATTATCTTCACACCAGCTCAGAGGCTCTGTTCCTAT